AATCAATCCACACTCAGTCGTCAGTAACTACTAACTACATAATACCTGTAAATTTTAACTTTTATGTAGCAATTACTAATTAGTCATTAATTGTTATACTGTCACTGTATTGCTGTGTGATTTTTTATACCGTTTAGGCATCTATTTTCCAATGAATATAACGAACTCGTTATTTGTTCATTCTTTTCTAACTTATGCCTAACTCACTTAAAAAGTTCATTGACAGTGTCGGTTTTGGTTGTTGAAAAGTATTCAAAACTTGGGCGCCACCTGCTCAAAACGTTTCATTCCAGTTCTTGCATGCTTATTAAATATGAACGGTATGCTTTACTTTGAATTTCGAGTCAACAATTGAGATATGAATATTGTAGTAATTTATTTCAATGGTATGTATATGCTTTAAAATGTATTTGTCGTGAATTTTTTTAGTTTTAGTAGCTTAATGCTATTTCCTGTCTTATACTAATTGGTTATATGATATAAAATCAAATAAATATTGTTTATTGAGTAATTGATTTCTTGTAAATAGCAAATGACGGAGAATATGTTTAAGGAACCAAAACATGTTTTTATACATGACATACTTAAGTTGTAAAATGCAATTGATTTCAAAAATCAATAAAATCATGTATATTTATTATTTAAGTGTTGTGTGAGACCAATAAACAGCAATATTGATCAATTTTTTGCGCTCATTTATGTTATTGATTATAAATCATATTTTTATTTTTGTAAATTATGTAATAATGTGTAGAATTTTTGTTTCATAGATTTTTAAATTTTTTTTTTCAGATTTATGAATAGAATTTAAAGAATTTGAAGTTTATTTAYAACAGCGGATTTGTTTTCTATGGCAATGCCTCATAATTATGGTTTAGAAATTACCACACAGATTCGGCCTGAAAAAAAGCTGACAAAAGATGCTATGGAAAGATATCTACTCAATCGCAATGACTTAGTTTTAGTCATTCTTCATGCTAAAGTTGCCCAAAAGTCCTATGGTACCGAAAAACGTTTTTTCTGTCCACCTCCATGTGTATATCTTCTTGGCAACGGTTGGCATTTACGTCAACAACAGTTGCTTAGAGAAGGAGTGACTGAACCTAATTCTCAAATGAGTGCATTTATTGGCATTGGTAGTGCAGATCAAGATTTGCAACCACTTGATCTCAATAACATTAAACAGTATTGTGCTGCTAAGACATTATTTATATCTGATTCTGACAAACGCAAGCACTTTATGCTTATGGTAAGAATGTTTTACAACAATGGCTATGACATTGGAACTTTTCATAGCAAACGAATCAAAGTTATATCTAAACCTTCAAAAAAAAAACAATCTTTAAAAAACGCTGATTTGTGTATAGCTAGTGGTACAAAAGTAGCATTGTTCAATAGGCTTAGATCACAAACAGTGAGCACTCGATATTTACATGTTGAAAATGAGACATTTCATGCCAGTTCAACTCAGTGGGGAGCTTTTATTATTTATTTATTGGATGATGATGAAAGTGAGAGTGACATGTTCAATGTTCGAGATGGTTACATCCATTATGGTAGTACAGTGAAATTAGTGTGCAGTGTTACTAAAATGGCTTTACCCCGATTAGTCATAAGAAAAGTTGATAAACAAACAGCATTGCTAGAAGCTGATGATCCTGTATCACAATTGCACAAATGTGCGTTTTACATGAAAGACACTAATCACATGTATTTATGTTTGTCCCAAGAGCGTATTACAAACTTTAATGCCACACCATGTCCAAAAGGGCCAAATAAAGAAATGATCAATGATGGAGCTTGTTGGACCATTATCAGTACAGACCAAGCAGAATATCAATTTTATGAAGGAATGGGACCTGTAAATTCACCTATAACACCTGTACCAGTTGTGCATGGTCTTAACACTAATGGTGGGGGCGATGTGGCCATGTTGGAACTGAGTGGAGAAAATTTCACACCACATCTACAAGTATGGTTTGGAAATGTTGAATCTGAAACTATGTTTCGTTGTCAAGAGAGTATGATTGCAGTTGTGCCAGATATCTCTTCATTTAGAGGAGACTGGTCATGGGTGAAACAACTTACACAAGTACCTGTGTCATTAGTAAGAAATGATGGTATTATCTATGCTACAGGATTGACTTTTACGTATACTCCAGAACCAGGTCCAAGAAATCGTGTAGCACCAGCTGACAAAATAATGCGAACATCCACTTCAAAAAATAATTTTTCATTATCACATATCATGAGTTGATTATAAAAAGGGTGATTTTAATAGTATTATTTATTCAACAGCCAACAGGGTAAATGACTGATAATTGACTGAATGAAACAACAATACAATGTTTTGACTTTTGATAATAAAGTAGTAGAAAATATTAAAGATGTCCCGGGTAGATAATTTATTAAAAACTTGATAACCATATATTTTAGGGTTACTAAAATATAATAAATATGATATTAGGTTGTTCATCAAGTAATTACTGCTGAGTACTCGGAATATCTCTAGTAAGATGATTATATTTTTGATCTTTTTTTTTGTAATTATTTTTAATATTATTGCTCAAATTTTAATTTGTCTATTAGTAATATTTATATATATAAAATATTTCTATTTCTATACCAGATTCTGTGAACACCATAAAAACCGCTCAGTTTTATAGAGTTATCATAAATGTATTACAAATTATTCAAAATAGTGATAAGTAAAATAATTTTGAACTAATTTTTCTTTTTTTACTGTAAATAAATTATATTAAGCACTCAACTTTACCATTTGTTATTGTTTATCACAGACAAATTAAAGTTTTTAATTTATCACAATATTATTATGTATTAGTATTAAGTAATAACTTAATATTTCTTGTAAAATATCAAAATATATTATAATATGGGAGTGTATGTGTTTTTTAATTTTAATTTTTAGTTAATATTCAGAAATAATATTTAATTTTAAACTACAAAAAAATGTTTTTTATTAAATTTATTTTTATCAGATAGATTAAGCTATCATTTAAATAAATATAAATCATAATAATTATTGTTTGTTCATAATTTGTTATGGTTACAGTTCACTAAAGTATGGCTATTAAGGGTTACTGAATACTATTTTATACTATGAATATTGAATATATTAAGTATAACCAGATAGGATCTTCATGGCTTTTAAAAGTATAATCAGTATTATATATTCAAATCTATCCTAAAATTATCAAAGTATGACTTTAAAATAAACAAATAAATACCTATTGCCTATTAGCTACATATAAAGCATAATTATTAAAATATGTTAAATAAATTGTAATATTCATTAAGAATAGCATTATTAATAGAGACTAGTAAACCACATGTTGCATATTTTGCATCGATTTAAGTAAAATTACCTAAAATGTTTAGA